AGTGATATATATATATATCACTTCCTACCATATATGTTTACTTTGCCCATTTCCTCACCATTTCATATAGTTGTACTATGGATAGCATCTGCATACTTGAAAATCTCGCAGTGATAGAAGTTTTGTCTTAAGGCTATTTTAAACCTAAGAGGAAAACAACTGTCTTCCTCATTTACTTAGATGTCTGATGTTTTAATTTACCCATCAAGTTTTAAAGTTTCCCTTTCTATAATTTCTCATTAAACTAGTGAAGTTTCTTATATTCTTAGTGGTAGCAACAAATTCTCTCAGTTTTCATTCTCTGAAAATGTCTTTCTTTGCCTTCGTTCCTAAAGAATATTTTCATTAGATAATATGGATGCTATACTTATCTCTCATACAGATAAATAATATAGATGATATACTTATCTCTCAGTCTGGATTGAAATTTTTATGCTTTTAGTACTTTAAAGATGTTTATTTTTATGATTTCCCCATCATTTTTATGAGACATCCATATTTTCAGTTTATCCCTTTGTATGTGGGATGCCATTTTCCTCTGGATGCTTTCTGTATTTTTCAGTGATATACTTAGGATGTATTTCTGTATAATTTTTCTTCGAATCTATCCTGGTTTGGGTTAACTTCTTGGATTTGTTAATTTGACTTTCATTAAGTTTTTAGTCATTTCTTCCATCATCCCCTCTCTCCCCCCCCTTTACTTGGCTGCATCTGTCCTAGCCCACAGTGTGAGGGAAAGAGAGTGAAGGGCAAGAAGTTTTCAAAGACATGACCTAGAAGTTGCACTTGTATATGAAGTGGGAAAAGGCCGTCATTAGGGAGAAAGTAGAGAATAGAGATTAGGGAACCATTAGCAATCTCCACTACTGAAGTTTTAAATGTTTCCTAATCTCAACCAATTAAAAGAGTTGTTAAGGAATAGCCACACCACTGGACTTTATGGGATCAGGTCAACATTTTAAAATATAGTAGGAGATTTCAGTAGTGGATCATTTCACAAAACTGGATGTTGGAGAATCTGATGAAATGCCTTCAAATTGTATTAAAGTTGCTGGATATATAAGGTAATAATTACTTATTTTTTCTTGTATTGTAGGCCTCAACTCCATATAGCATAGATTCAGATTCTTTGGGAATGGAGTATATTATTTCGGGAAGTGCCTCTCCAACTCTGGCAATCAACACTGTGACTAACAAAGTAATTCTTTTTAAACACTTTTGAATGTCATTGAGTAATACATTTAATTTTCTATTATAACAACAATAGAATTCTGTATGGTGGAGGTTAAAGGTGATGTAAATTTGGCTAACTGATTTATAGCAGCCTGAAAACTGATGCCATTTTGTTTTGAGTTTTATACATACAGAAGCAAATATTTCTTTGGAGCAACTGGAAGGTGCATATTTAAATTCTTGACACTGTTATTTCCCATTGATAGAATTTTTGAGTTAGCATTTTACTGAATCATTTTGTTTTAAAATTTATTAATTACCCCTCTACCTTTGTAATTGAAAAAAAAAGATTATTAAATTCTCAAAAAGTGAACGGTATCCAGTACAAAATTTGGACAAACTCATAGTATATTGGAATAGTGGTTAACCTGTTTTAATGCTCAAGAGTAGGTAAAAACTCAGAATGTTGTGTTATAGACTGATGCATTTTTGTATGTGAAACAACAGTAAAAATCATTAGATATCTAGTGGAACACAAATATCTCTTCTTTACAAGATGATTTCTTAATCTCATATTTCAAAGCCCTAAAAAGACACTGGTAGGTTCATGAAGTAACTTAGTTCTGTGGATCTTACTTCTTTCTTACTAGACCATGAGCAACTCAAAGCCATTTATTTAAATTCAGTTCAAAAATAGAAAAGTTAACCAATATTGGTTTAAGTCTGTATAGTGGTTACTTGGAATAGGAATGATAATTACTGACTGGTGAATGATGATTGGGAAAGTGCTTGAACAGGCCGTCTGGAGTGACAATGTTCTATACCAGTGGTTCTGTGGCCTGTGGACACCTGGATAACAAGACCCTTTTAGGGTCAATGAGGTTGAAATATTTTTATGATATACTAAAATATCATTTCTTTCCTTCAAATTTTCATTGATGCAGCAAAAATAATAGTATATAAACAGTAACACAAGTCCAGGCAGTAACAACAAACTGTACTAGTAGTCAGTGTACTCTGACTGCTACCTACCCTTCAGATTAAAGAAGATAACCAGTTTTATTTAATAAAATCCTTGGTGAAGCGGAAAAAATAATTTTATTACTGAGTATACATCTTTGTAATGTTCTGTATGATGAAGTGGGAAGTATGTATAAAGCCATTTTAAACTACATACCAATCACCCAGTTATTGTTTTAAGGAACATTTGTAGAATTGCTTGAATTATGTGATTGGGTTGAACTAGCTGCCTTGTTCATGAATCATTGTTTTTACTTGATACAACAACTAATGGTTATTCATGTTTGGATAGTTGGCAGATCATTTTTCTTGAAAATGAATAAAAACGAGTGTCACTATAGGACACAATTGATTAGTACTTCTTGCCAATGATAAGGTTTAAACTTTTAAGCCAAAAAGAATTTGGAAAACATCTCTACCATCTACCACAGTGAATCTGACAATTTCTCAGTCTTTAAAAACCTTAAAGACACTCTAATGAAATTAGTAGTGGTGTCAGCAAGTGTGATATTTTGGTGTTGTATAATGAAATGTGCCACTATTTTGGAAGATGTTCAAATATAGTCTTTCCTTTCCCATTTCCATCTATGTGTGTATGTGTCTGTCTGTCTGTGAATGATAGGTTTTCTTTTTGTACTTGTACCTAAACAACCTGTTGCAGATTGAGTGCAGAAGCAGGTGTGAGAACCTAGCTGTTTCCTGTTAAGCCAAGCATTGAGGTTTACAAAAATGTAAAACAATAACACTCTTCTAATTTTAATTATTTGTTAGAAGAATTTTTTTACATTAACACATAAAATATTACTTATATGTATAATTATTATAAAATAATTATTTAAAATTGATTAATATTTAAATATGTTACAGTTTTTGATTCCGCTTGCCAGTTATTGTTACACATATCAGCATAAACAAAAACTTATTCACTCCTCAGCTTGTTAGAATTGTAAAAGGGTTCTTAAACCAAAGTTTGAGAACTGCTGTTTTATACTTTGATCTAGATGGTTATTACATAGGCAGACCTATTCTATATTAAATAATTTGTGCATTTGTGTAAACTAATAATAATCTCTCCATGTTATATTTTAATAGAAATATTTATCCTTCCAAGTAAAATAAGCTATAAAGATTTGTCCATGACAGCGGAGGGTATTTCTGACTTTATTGATAGGTAATTGAGCACAGACAGAAGAGAATGAATAACTAAGAAAAATGGCCATAGGATGCATGTGATTTGTTGATAGTTTGTTTTATAGTTTTGTTTTTTATTTGTAGGAGGCTTTAAAGGTAGGGTGCGCGTGCGTGCATGCATGCAATTTACACTGAAAGTATGCACCAGTTAAATATTTGTCAAAGGTTTCGTTATTTACTCTCATTTTCCCTTTTTACTCTTCTCCTTTAGTATTTCCTGTCTAGGAAGGCTCCTAACTTACGTGAATGTGTGGCAATTTGGTTTTGCCTTAAATGTGGAGGCATATATGCTTAGTTTTCCACATATTCAGCCTCTTTTGGCTCAAAGGTTTGTGAGCATTGAGTACAGATAGTGATTGGTCATTTGGTTACTAAATTCACCAAATATTTATTTTCTTACATTGTTGTTTATTTTTGTAAAATAGGTGATTTCTCTGCTTGTGTGTAGTCTCCCTAAACCTCTCACCATCAATGAACCATTCCCATAGTCCCTTGTGCTTTACCCTCCCGGGTTTTGACCCGTCTCTCTCTTCTTCCCCTTTTGTACGTCTCAGATCTATAGATTGCTTACCTACAAGTATTCCTCTTATAAGTAAAACCATCCAATATTTTCTTTTTCCTTCTGGCTTACTTTGTTGAGCATAACCCCTTCTAGCTCCATCTATGTTTCAGTAAATATTTGTTATTAATTATATGATAAGAGAAAGCACTATGCTATTTGTAATTACTTACTTTTTGAAGACTTAAGTTGTTCATAGACTAGTAGTGGATAAAAATAAATTAGTCCTTAAGACCAAATGTATATGCAAGTAGGAACAGAGAAAGGCAGTCATAGTAGCATCTAACTAGAACCTTAAAGAAAGTTAGTTTTGTGCTTTAAAAATACCTATTTTTTAGTTTCTGATTTAAAATTGTTACACGTATTACAAACTCAAATGTAAAAATAGATACTATCAGTGATGTCTTTGATGGTGAACATAGACTTAATGATGAGATTAGGGTGCATTAAGCACCAAAAGGAAAAGTACTTGTCTTTCTACCATATACTATCTCAGTTGCATTTTTCATAGAGTTGCTTCAGACGTGCTCTTGATAGTGGGCACTACTTATTCAGATGTTTTTCTTTTCATTGTAGGTAACATTATATAACACTGATCAGGATGGTAGTGACAGCCCACGTAGTAGCCTTAACAACAGTCTTTCGGACCAGAGCTTGGCATCCGTTAATTTAAACAGTGTTGGAAGTGTACATAGTTATACACCGGTAAGTCATGGTGATATTAACTTATTTGTTGAGTGGTCACTTAATACTTAAAATCTAAGCCAAACATAATTGGAATGAAAATAAAAGGTGAAGCTATTTCTCACTAATTAATTCATTAACTTGAATAAGTAGAATAGATGTCTGCTTGGTAATATTTTTATGATGTTAATTTTTCTTTCTTTAACCAAATTTTATTGATTTGGCATTTGTTTATACAGTGATATAATTTGGGGGTGTACATGATAGTGATTTAATTGGGCACTCTTTTTTTTTTTTTTTACCAAATTAGGTACAAATACAGGGTTGTTCCATGTTACAAATTTTGGTCTACTTTACTCCATCTATGCAATTTGAAAAGGAATAAAAAAAGTACTTTAGTCTAACTCTATATTTGATAATGATTTACAGTCCTTGGTTAAAGAGCTCCGAAGATGTTTGTGTCAACCTATTTTCCTGCTATAGACTTGAGAAGGATAGTCTCCAAATCTCTAAAGTTAAGATAGCCTGGTACCCAAGTGTTAACTCATTTTGTAGTTTCAGTTTTGGTCTGGAAAACAAAACTATTTTATAAAGGTACCTGTGTGTGAGTATTTTTGGCCCTGTGCTAATTTTGTTATTACAAGAACATGACCCTTGGGTTACCTGATACTTCTTTTCAAAATCATCTGGTAACCATCTCTGCTGGTAGATAGCAAATAGTGCCATATATGATAGTTATAAATTTGACCTCCTGAGATCACTCCTTGTCTTTGGTTTAGTAAATAGGTAAAATTTTTTACAGAATAAAATAAGAAAATAACACAAAGAAAGCAAAAACTTAAAAGACCAGAATATAAAATCACATTGTAGGAAAAAAGAAAGGTAACTGAAAAACTCTTACCAGTATTCTAAGGGGAAAAAATAATCTCCCATAATGCAGAAGAAAGATAAAGGAATCAAAAATATGTAAAAGAAGATGCCAGATATGGAGAACACAGAGTTAGTTACATTTAGTCCTGAAGAAAAAAATTGTTGGAACAGAGGCAGTTCCTAAAAGAAATAGAAATTAAAGGAGTTACTGGGTTTTAGGAAAGTTAATAGAAAACTTGTATTTATCACAACATGACAGTTTTTTAAATTTCTTAAGCAACTATCCATGTAAATACTTTGGCAGAAGAAGATACATTTAATGAAGTACAAATCACACTTCTCTTCCATTGTATTAAATGACAAAAAATAATGGAATACTTTAGCAGATTTTTGAGGGTACAGCTTTGGGTTTATAACCAGTCAAGTTATCATTCATACATGAGTTCAGTAGAATTACATTCTTTGATATTCAGAACTTAGAAAGTATCCTACCCTTGTTTTCATGAAAAATTCAAGCAGCACATTTAGAACTACGTGACAGAAGTAAGAACAGCTATCCATTATGCTAGTAAATGTAAGAGGGTTAAACTCCCTTATTAAAAGCTAGATATTGTAGACAGCTTTTTTTTTTAATTTACTAACAGAATACCAAGTTGTCATTAAGTATATCATCAACTGTTTTTGTACTTGTGACATAGCATAAACTGAGCCTCTGAATACACAATGAACACTACGGTATTGAGACACTTTTATTACTTCAGATACAAACCAGATCAGGATATTGTCAGTTTCCTCACCTTATGGTACTTCACCAAACGTAAGGAACTAAATTACAAGATTACATATGTGTTTGGGTCACTGTAGTTGAGAAATGTTACTTTCCATCTTGCTGTCAACAGTTGTATAACCTGTACTCTAAGTGTGGTAGTTGGTAGCAGTGTTATGCTTCTCTGGAAATAGGGAGGCAGATGAGGAACTGTTTCTTGGAAACTGCCTCTTCCTGCAAGAAAGGAATGCAGTTGAGAAGTGGTGAATGAGAATTTGCTATTCATAAAACCACTTGTCATCCCTTGCTCCAAAACAATCATGTTCTACCAAGATATTTATCATTCTGCCATTGAGACTTGTCTACGTGAACTGCATAAAGACCATAATGCTAGTGATAGAAAAGCCATTTCCCCACAGAAAATTTGTGTTTTTCCATGTTATTGCAGATTCCTTGTGAGCATCATTTTGAGCGGCTGCATAAATTTACAGTGCATGTTCATATCTTGACTTTTCAAAATACCACATGATATTTTACCACCTCTTGATTTAATCCTCAAGAAATACAACTGGTCCTTTTTATTAATTTCTAGTTATGCAGCCTTCAAAGATAATTCTTATGTTTTAGGTGTTAATGCACTTTTCATTAACTGCATTATTTAGTCCCCAGATTTATTCTGGTTTTATCAGAAACTCCTTTGCCATTTGAACTTCATCTTTCATTTCCTCATAGTTTCATTTTAAAAAAAATGTTCATAAGAAATGAAGAGTTAGGTGTATCAAAATAATTTGCTGTTCTGGGCAGCACCGTGCAACCTACAGTATTTGGGCTTAAATACTTAAAGATTAATTGAGTAAATTAATGAGAAATAGTAGTCGCTTTGTAGTATTGCAGAAATTTGAAGTTGAAATTGCTTTTGAAGAAATTAGGGAGAAAATCTTGCAGAAATTGAAAAGGATCCAGGTCTAGCATAACACTTTTTTATAAGATTTTGAGCAAGTCATTTAAATTCTTTGAACTCTCTCCCCATATCTATGAAATGTAGAGATTAGACAGACTTTTCTGGTTCTTCAAGATCCAAATTAATAATTTTGCAGCCTGCTCTTTATGTGTACCCAATTTAACAGAGGGAGGAAAGCCAAAGACAGGGAAGTTATTTCCTTTGGGTTGTAGAAATTGTTACAGTATTTATAGATACATACGTTCTGTAATGAATCTATCCTGAGGAGGAGCTACTAAAATTAATATTATCTTCTTTGAATATTAGGTGACAAACCATCCAGAACCGGTTTCACAGTCATTAACTCCACAACAGCAGCCACAGTACAATCTTCCAGAACGAGACAAACAGCTACTTTTCTCAGAATATAATTTTGAAGATCTCAGTGCCTCATTTCGAAGCCTCTACAAGTCAGTTTTTGAGCAGTCACTTAGTCAACAAGGTAAGTTTAAAAAAAAATTTTTTTTGTAAAGTAAATTTTCATTGAAAACTTTTTTTAAGAATTGTTTTCTTTCACATAGCAGCTGTTTCTTTACTCTTAGAACATTATCAGGATTATGAGTTTATGATTAATAATTATGATTAACAAATACTCATATTATGTTCTTGTATCTTTACTATATACTGTATATATTTACGCCATAGCACAAGGATGTCGTGTAAATTTCATTTTCCACCTTTGCTTCACATTGATTACTGGAGCTATCCTAGAGTACTGTCTTGAAGAATTTTGACATTACAGCTGTGCCATGTGGGGAGATTGCCATGGTTAATTATTGGTGTTGGGCATGTGAAGGTTTTGAATGGTAAATGTTGTCTCATAAGAATAGATGTGCCATGCTTTCTGTTCTGCCAGGTATTGGCAAAATAACTATTGGAACAGTAGCAACACATTTGCAATTTCACAGTGGCTCTTAAATGAACACATTAGCTAGTTGTTAGCTTTTGGTCATTGTCTTTTTACAATATACTTAAATCAGATTTAACACCAATCAAATATGATTTTGGATGAAATGCAGTATTAAGTGTTAGCCAGATGTTACATTGTTGCAGTCATGTGTTACTATGCCACTGGATGCTGGTTTATTTTTAGGTAGTATTGAGAGGATACATCTTCTTCCTCCATAGAATACTTGTTAGAAATTGCTGGGAGCTCTAGTATTGCAACTTTTCCTTCTTTGTTTGGCAGATGAACTATTCATACTCTCAGTCAGAGCATTTACCTGCTCATCAATGAACAAAATAGAAATTCTTGTCTTTTGTAGAGTTTACATTTTAATATTTACTGTGAGATATTATGAAAGTTGATGGTGGTATTTATATGTTGGATATATAGATTAATATCAGGTTTACATTGGGCATTAATTTTTCTGATTAATACAGAATTAATAGAAGACTTGACTAAGTAGATTCAGCCTTGATGATCATAGTGGTAAAACACTGATTTTGAAATAACAGTGGCAACAGTTTCTGAAGCTCATAACGTTATTTTTATTATACTAATAAAAGAAAAAGAGAACATCATGGTAGGAATTCTGGGCCTAGCCCATGTAATAATACCATAGCATGGACTAAATAAACTTCACCTTTCTGGACTTCAGCATCTCTGTTTGTATAATGAAGATGATTAGACTAGGTCATTGGCTTTCAAAGTGCTCACTCACTCTGGAGCCCTTGACTTTGTGAAGGTCTGTGGAAGGAGACAGCTGCACATAAAGAACAAGACTTACTAGGTTTCCCTTCATGGCTTCAAAAAACAACTTTAGGCTTATTATTTTTGTAAATTGTGCTTCTGAAAGGTATTTTGTTTTATTTAAAAATAATTTGGGATTGAAAGTCTTGACGTCATATTTGGGTTTGCTGTTAATAGGGACTTCAATAGGAGTGTTGGAACTAGATAATAAATAACTGCTTTCTTTCATCTTACTGTAGTAACCGTGTTATTCCCTAGAAATGATAGTTTTTCAAGGCCAAAGCAAGAAACTTTATTAACTTTTCTGCCTTTAAAATCTTTACTTACTGAATTTTAAGATTATCTTATAATGTACCTGTATGCAGTTTTCCTATTAGGGAAAGTATGAGAATACTTTTATTTCAGTTTAAAAGTTGACTGTTTTGTTGATTCACACTATGCTGTGGGATTTTAATTTTCATTAATATAACTTTTTTGTTTGGTTCAGAAAAACACTATGAAGATAGTCTAGTTATGTAGAACCAAACGTTGCAGTAAGATTTATTAAAATGAGTGTTTACTTGCAAACCAAACATACATTATTTTTAACATTAGGCACTTCTGGCCTAATCATCATCATCACCATAGCAGTTAATATTTACTGAGCTCATCCTGCAGCCTTCACTTGCACCATGGCATTTAATCCTCACAGCAACTCTATGAAGTAGGTACTTTATCATACCCATTTATAGTTGAGGTAATTGTGGCCTGGAGAAAACTTAATAACTTTCTGAGGTTACCAAGTTTGTGTAAATGGCAGTGCACAGACTTTAATCTCTACTTTCTGGTACTATAAAGTATGTGCTCTCTCAACTCCTAAATTGTGTCTGTCTTACAAATGTTTCATAAGAGTAGTCAGAAAGGATAGTAGAGATGACTATCTTGTTTTATTTAGTCTTAGGGATTCTAGCCATGTTGGACTTTATTTCTCCCCCCGCTCCTTCTCTCAAAATCTGGGTCATCAGGCCTACAGCAAACTATCTGAAGTGACCCAACACCTCCCCCACTTTTTCATCATCTTTCAGATACAGCCCTTTCAAGGAAGGCTTCTCTGTCAGTAGGCCCTTCCTAGGTAAATAGGCAAGAAGCATCCCCTCTATATACATTTGCCTTAGTATTTTCATTATTGAACATCATCTCAAGTGTCTGTCTCTCCTACTAGTCATGAGTTATTTGAGGGCAGGAATGATCCTTCTTACTCTTGCCAGTAACCCCAGTCTAGTGTACAGTGGATGTTCCATCAGTACGTGTTAAAAGTAAACCAAAGTTACTTCCCAACTACATACATTTTTGCTTTGTGAATAATTTTGTGAATGTTTGTCATAAAATACAACTTAACTCTCCACAAATGATTTTGTTTTTGTGTATAGGTTTGATGAACATCCCTTCTGAATCTTCCCAGCAGTCCCACACTTCATGTTCCTATCAGCACTCTCCTAGCAGTACAGTGAGCTCTCACCCACACAGCAACCAAAGCAATCTGTCCAACAGTCATGGCAGTGGCCTCAACACCACGGGTAGTAATTCAGTCGCACAGGTCTCGCTGTCTCACCCCCAGATGCACACTCAGCCAACTCCACATCCGCCCCATCGACCGCATGGTTTACCCCAGCATTCACAGCGCCCCCAGCACTCAGCACCACACCCACAGCAACACAGCCAGCTCCAGTCCCCACACACTCAGCACCCCTCTCCACATCAACACATACCACACCATCCAAACCATCAGCACCAGACGTTGACCCATCAGCCACCCCCACCACCACAACAGGTATCCTGTAATTCTGGTAAGTTTGTGTCTTCTGACTTATGTTTAGCTAACTGTCAATTAGGATCTGTCTTCTTTTACCTCAGTTTTACTACCAAAACACTTCTTGTCTGTTTCATTTTGTGTTTGCTTACTATAACCCTAGAGTTCTAATCATTCAAGCTACAGATTGACCTGGAGATTTTCTTGATTAAAATGTATTGTGGTAAAAGACAGGCAGACTCAGCAACTAATGCAGGTTTTGGTTTTAACTCTTACCATGTAGAAAGCAAATGTTTTGTGAGCATTCAGAAGACAGAAATCTGCAATCTGTTTATAATCCTTGTGACTTTGTGATTTTAGAAGAAAAGTGGAACTAAAATACTGTTACACAGTGTTGTTATGAGGAGTACACTGAGAATACAAATAGGAATGCTACTGCTAGTACACTACTTTATTTAAGTATTCAGTGATTGTGCCCATTCTTCTTCCTTTGATTATTCCCACCAACTATGTTATCTAAGAATGAGAGATTGCACAGGAGAAAATATTCTTTATACCCGAATTAAAAAAAAAAAATTACTGCTCTTAAGTTAGGTGGTTTCTAGTGAGGTACTTAACTGCCATTGCTCTGAGCCAGGGATTCTTTACCCTGCAGCGCCCTGGGGTGGCAAGGGCATGGACTGCCAGGTAAACTAGCTAGGTAAACTAGGGACTCTGGAATGGCGTGGAGCTTCTTCCCATAGCTTACCTGGCTGTACACTTACCAACCACTGATAAGAGTTTTAACCTGAAGTATGATTTCTAAATGTTCAGCAGTGTATCAAAAATTAGTCAGTATTTTCCTTAGTGTATATTTCAAACTTTCACTGTTCAAGAGTCACAATATTTTCAATATTATTTTGATAGGTGTTTCAAATGACTGGTATGCAACACTTGATATGCTAAAAGAAAGCTGTCGAATTGCCAGCAGTGTTAATTGGTCAGATGTAGATCTTTCACAGTTCCAAGGTGAGTACTGGTTCCTTTTGTCATAGGACCAAATATGTTTGATTCTGTTTTTCCCTGATAGATTTCTTCTTTGTAGTAGAAATAAGCATTTCTTTATATGCAGTTGGTCGTATACTTCCAAACAGTATTTTGCAAAAATCGTAAGTGAACTTTTGCCAGTTGATCTAGCAGAGTCACACAGAAAAGTTCTTAGATAACCCACATTCTATATCTTTAAAACGTATACAGCATTGAAAACTATTTCACCAGGAAACACAAGTTTAAAAATATTGCAGTTACTATTTTATATCTGCATCTTTGAAAACATACCAATAAAATATCTGTTGGTTAATTTCTAGAGGTGAACTTTTTTTGATGGAAGGTATATGTATTAAATATCTTGATATCAGTATTGCCAAGTGGCATTTAAAAAGGTTACCTGGGGTCCTCCCTGGTGGCCTAGGGGTTAAGTTTCAGTGCTTTACTGCTTTGGCCCACTACAGTGGCCTGAGCTTATACCCAGGGAGCTCACTCACATATGGCGCAGCAGACCTGTGCTGTCTCACCCACTGCTTCCTTTAGCAGAGTATCTCAGTAGATCCACCTGCTCTGCTCCCCGCTCTATGTCTGGTGAATCCTCTCACCCCTGTACCCTAATTCTTCTACATAAGAATAAATAAAATCTTAATAAAAAAAAAAGGTTATACCATTTACATCCCCACTAGCAAAGCATGAAACCAGTTGCACAGCCTTTGCAAAATAGTATGGTGTTAGATGTTGGGATCATTGCCAATCTAGAAAGTAGGAAAAATATTTACCACCTTAGTTATGATGTCCCCTTGTCTTATTATGTGTAAATCGAGACAAACATTTCAATATGTCTAAAAAGCATTTGTATTTGTGTGTGTGTGTATTTTTCTGTTAGCTCCTAACACATCTTTCTATGGAATTTTTGGTAGCTACTGTTTCTTATTGACTTGTAAACTTAAATATTAAGTAAGTTAGGCTTATTTATTCTGTTAGTATTAATTCTTGTTTGTAGTTTTTTATCTTTCTTAGAAGTGTTCTTATCTATGAATATATTTTTTGTACTTTATTATATAATCACATTTATTGGTAGCTTATGTTTCTAACTTTTGTGTTCTCTGTAGACAACACCTTCAACTCTAAGATTGAGCTAAAATAATCTTAAAACATCATTTTCAAGTGGAAATTTTAAGAACTGAAAATAAAAACGTGTCATTATTACTTTTGCAATGTTTGCATGAGTATGCTAACTGTATTTTTAATGCTTCCCTTCATAGGTTTGATGGAGAGTATGAGACAAGCAGATCTCAAGAACTGGTCTTTAGATCAGGTTCAATTTGCTGATCTCTGTTCTTCTCTTAATCAGTTCTTTACACAAACTGGCCTTATCCACTCACAGAGTAATGTTCAGCAGAACGTCTGTCATGGCACCATCCATCCAACAAAACCTTCCCAACACATTGGAACAGGTATGGGCTTAATTATTTTCTTGATTTTCTTTTGCCCATTCATGTTAACTATCTGGAGCAACTGGTACATCGTTAACGGTGACAGTGGTCCATTTATAGCTTTTTATTTCTAGTAAGTGAACAAAATTAATGTACTTAATTCTGTCATAGGAAAGTTGAGATAAAAAGACTTTTTCTGTCATGATTTATATGATTATTTTGTTTGTGGTTAACTTGTTTTCTATGACCTCTTAAGTTAACAAATAAGAATTAAATGTCTTAAAGATATTTACACATCCATAGTCATGATGTTATCAATTTAAATTTGTATAGACTTATCAGTGCAAATCAACGTTTTTTTTGTATCTTGTAAAAATGGTTAAGCAAAAGTAAAGTTCAAACTTTTCATGACAAATAGACATAATGGTAAATAGTCCATTGATTTTTTTTTAAGGTTTATTTATTTATTTATTTATTCATACAGAACTGGGGTACAGGCCAGAGATGCGGAGGGTGAGAGGATTCACCAGAGATAGAGTGGGGTGTAGAACAGACAGATCAATGAAGTACACTGCTGAGGGGAGCAGTGGGCGGGTCAGGAGAGGTCTGCCGCACCATGTGGATCTCCTCCGGGGCAGGTGGGGATCGAACTCATGCGGAAGCGGCTTAAGCTTCTTTGTGCTGTGCTTTAACCCGCTGCCCCACCAGGGAGGGCCCCATTGATGTTTTTAATCTTTAACTCCAGACTCAAAATTTATGTTCTGTGTTTTTCATTTCATGTTTTTTCTTCACTCTTTGTCCTTAGAACCCAACCACCTCTTCTACTCTGAGTGCAGTGCCTACATGTTTTATCTTCCCCAGTTTCAGTCTGTAGGCATTTAATATTCAAGTTCTTTCTCTCTTTGTTAGAGTTTCTTGCCTCCTTTATCTCCAAGTTGAATTTTCTATGTTACCTTGGTTTTACACTTGATGTTAAAAACACTCTCTTGAGTGGCTTCCTTTAGCCACTGTCATACTTTGCTTTGTATGTTTGGTCTTCCCATGTTCTCAGAACCCCCACTTGGGTTGCAACCCCCAGTTGTTGTTTGATATGTTCAAAATCTTTTATTTTTGTTTTCTTTATTTGAATATCTTACTTAAGTCCTCAGTGGATGTTTGAGTATGAGTTACTTATGCATTCTATGAATTATGTCAGTGCAGGGACCTCCTTCATTGTCAGCCACATAAAAATTATTTAATGTAAGCGGAATTATTGACTGTCCTTAAAGTGCCAGACACCAAGCTATTTTTTGGTAACTGTTTAATTCCTCTATCTCTCTCCATTTGTCATTTCTGCTTTCGTCATCTTCCCGATACATACGCTGTCAAACTTTTTTCAGTGATGGTAACCACATAAACGTAAAGTCCTGTTTGTAATCATCCTTAAGTGTACAATTTTTAATAGCATTAAATACATTCATAAAATTGTGCAACAGTCACGACTACTCACCCCCATAACTCTTCTCCTCTTACAAAGTAAATATTCTGTATTCATGAAACAATACCCCTCATTCCACCCCCTGCCCTTCCAAACCCTTACATCTTTTGGTTTTTGACTGCTCTTAAGTAAATAAACTCCAAATAGGTGTTTATTTCCATGACTGACTGATGCCACTTAGCCTAATGTCTTCAAAGTTTATCCATGTTGTAGCATGTTAGAATTTCCTTTTTGAGGGTGTATTATTTTCCATTTCATGTATATACCATTTTTTGCTTACCCATTCATCTGTGGATATACATGGGTTGCCTTTTTTAGTGCTTGTGAACAATGTTGCTGTGAACATGGGTTTATGAACACCTGCTTTTAGTTCTTGTGGCTGCATACCTACGTGAAATAACTAGATCATATACAATTCTAGGCATAATTTTTGAGGCTACATCGTGCTGTTTTCCACAGCAGCTGTACCATTTTCCATTCCCACCTAGCATTTCACACGGGTTCCAGTTTCTTTATGTCCTCACCAGCATGTTATTTCCCTTCTTTTTTTCAAATAATATCTATCCCAGTATATGTGAGATGGTTATTTTATTGTCATCTTGATTTGTATTCTTTGTTGAATAGTGATGTTGGATATCTTTTCATCTTCTTAATCTGCTTTCTTTAGTTGTAGGTGACAATACTATAAGATTTTAATGGTTCATTTGTTTCTTCTCTTTCTGACTAGGAAATTTGTACATAGACTCCAGGCAAAATATCCCTCCTTCAGTGATGCCACCCCCTGGTTATCCTCATATCCCACAGGCACTCAGCACTCCCGGAGCCACGATCACAGGTAACTTGGGATGTGTATGTGTTGCATTTGGTACTTAAGAGTTTAATACTGAAAAGTTTTGTTGTCCCAGAAGTAAATGAGTCTGCCTCCAGAGGGAGTAAACTCCATGCGAAGTTAGTTACTGGGCTCCACTGCAGGTTGAACAGATTCAGATGTTATTTGGCATGTAGCCATATGATCGGAGGTTTCTCTTGGCCCACAGATGCTGTCATTTAAGTTAACACCCTACCTCTTTTAAGTTGTCTTGAAGCATAGAACTTGTCCTAGTGTCTTCGATAATTTTGAAACTTACTTGACTTCACAGGATTTGGCAGGTACCTACTTTGATTGGCTCCTGTATATTTGCTCCATTCTTTCTGATGAAGTTTCCTCAGTTTCCAGGAAAGTATACTATAGAGGAGGAATCTTCAGGATTTAATGGTTTATAAATTTCCCTCCCTGCTTTCAGAATATAGGACTAGTTGCATTTCGTAAGGCAGTAGAGGCACATTTTAAGAATTAGCTAAATGAGAAATCTGAGATGCAGGAGGAGACAGAATTTACTTAGAGTCACCAGTTCAGTAATTGGCCGGAGCAAGACTCAAGCCGTAATGTCATTTTTTCCCCCCTTGAACTATTTACTTTGGCTTTTTGAAGAAAAGATAAAAGGCAATGTGAATTTAAAATCTGTGTGCCAGTTAGTTTGAAGGAACATGTTTTTTGATGAAGGGAAAGAATGTTGTCCCGCCTCAGCACCAGTGACTTTATAAAATACGGTAGTCAAGATGCTGGAGCCTGATTGTTAAGGTTTGAATCCCAGTGCTTTGCCACTTGATAGCTTCCCAGCCCTCATATCTCAGCTTTCCTGCCTATGAAGGGGGGCTAATAATACTCCCTAAGTTCTGATGTTAAGAAGATTAAGTGAGGGTATAGGTAAATGTCCTAACTAACCACCTGGCACATTGTAAAGAACTTGTAAGTTAAAAAAAATAAAATGCAGGCGTTGCTGCTTTATTGTGATATACTAAAAATCTTAGCAGTTTAAAAAAGCATATAATTTTATAATATAATTTACATAATACATAATATGCATAATATATGTAAATTATATTATAAAATGATAGGATTTCTGAGAAAAGTAAGATTGGCAATAGGCTAGAAATTAGGCTTAAGAAAAGCTTTTAATAATACAGTAAAGATTCCTCATTGGTAAACATATATTTACAAATTTCTAAAAAAATGGTTTATTTTACATGTAAATGTAATCATTTGATGTGGAAAAAAGAAAAAACACCTGATTTAAGAAGGAGGTTTGTTAAAGATACGGAGACAAAGACAGAATGTACCAAAATTGGGTAGCACCAGCAGCAGATAGTCGTATCAGTCCAGGAGAAGAGGATGGGAGGTCAAGCCTCAGTACTCCTGGGCTCCTCCATGGAGCTAGTTACTCAGCTAGTCACGGTTCTCAGCTGTGTTGCTTTCTGTTCCCATGCCATTACTTGGTGGCACAGAATGAACTGGCTGGAAAAATTCAGTCTGATTTCATGTGATTTCAGAGTTGCACTGACTTCATTGTCCTTTTACCATTCTCATAGGTGTCAGTTCATGTTCCTGAAACACATATTGAAGCAAAACAGACTTTATAAGAAATGGTTATATCAGCATGTGGAAACTTGAGCATTCTTTATGCCCTCCTTGCTGAAGCCTGGCATAATGGAAAAAGCATGGTTTCGGTATCACGTAAACTTGAGTTCAACCTCTCTTTCCCGTAACTAGTTGTATGACTTTCAGAAGGATGCTGCTCATCCCCTTAAACCTGAGCCCCCTTACCTACATAGAGTGAATCGTAAGAACTACCTGGTTGACAGCTTCTGGGTAGATTTGTGAGATGATGTGCAGTGGGTTGCTTGGCACATAGGAAGCTACCCTGAAGGCATGTCTTTGTTTCTTCTGTTCCTTCCTTACGTAAGTGATGTTGTCTCCTTCCATTCAGGCCACCACGGAGCCATGAACCAGCAGCACATGATGCCTTCCCAAGCCTTCCAGATGCGGCGCTCTCTGCCTCCAGATGACATCCAGGATGACTTTGATTGGGATTCAATTGTGTAGTGCTTGTTCTGCACGGCACCAGACACCAGTGTCACCTTTCTCTGCAGTGAAAGGAAAGGTTCAAGGGAATCCAGTTGAGAAAGCAAAGTTGCTAATCACTTTACCAATGTTATCAGAATTTCTTTTGAAGACAATCAGAAAGATTTTAGCTGGATAACTTACTGCTTTTATCTGACTTAAACAAGTACTACATGTTTGTCTCCCTGCCAGCTGCCCTCTGTAGCTCCTAACTGTTCTGTGATTTGAACGGCTTTTGCATATTTGTGTCAGTTTGATGTTGACCACAAGTGCCAGACTGATTTTTCAGGCAGAGCCTATTTTGCTGCAAGCAGTTTATAGATACATAATGTGTAAATATGTACAAACATTTCTGAAAGGCTTCCTTTCCCCCCCACCCCCATTGGATTATTATGTCTTGAGAAGAAAGTTACTGTGAGTTTTTATTCCTTGTTAAGCGATTTTCTGCAGGGTGCTTTCAACAGATGTTGGCAACTGAATGGAAATAGATTTTTTTCAAAACCCAGTTCCCCTGATTTAATCTTACTCAAAATCGTGGCAGTGAGTTCTACTCAGTAAATTAAAGGAAGAACCCAGAGTTGTTTTACTCTCCAAACAATCTGAAGGGGCAGGTTGTTCCTGAGCAGCATAAAGAACTGACCAGATTTGATTTGATGTTTGGGGGATTCTAGAATTTTTATTGTACCCGTAACTGTCTGTTTTCCTATATCTGCATTACAGCTCTGAAACGTAGTTGATTGGGTAGAAGCTGGACATTTGCTTGCCTCTACAAACAAATCAATGCCTCCATATTCACTTATGTATTTATTATTCAGAAGTGTTATTTTAGTATTTATTGCTACCTTCTGTGAATGCTCAGCTCCCATTGGATTCATTGAGGAGAAATGCAGTGTCAGAAAGCACAGAATTATTTTTCTTGATAAGAGTTTACAGACAAGACAATCAGAGCGAGATTGTGTAATTCTTTTTAGTGTCACTCCTTTTACCATGTGAGTATATTACTCTATCTTAGCATCTGCTGATTGAGGCATATTAACTAAATAGGATTTTTCTGGAATTTGAATCAGAGATCATTTGTGCAACAGAACAGGAGGGCAAGTTTCTGCATTAATTTGCTTTCCATTCATATAACCAAAATGGAGGGTAGAGCCACCCATAGATTTTATTTGCCTCAGTCTTCAGTGCAGTTATTATTTGGTTCCTGCTGTTTCTGTTGTCCTGTGTGTCTGGATGCATGGCATTTGGCTGCTTTCTTTGAAATGGAGCTTCCTCTCTGGAGGTTTTATTAGTTGCTGTTTTATATGCTATCACAGTTACTTTGCATGGGTTGATTATCTTAGTTTTATAATAAAACTGAAAATTGAGATTTATTTTTAATGAATAGTTTTTGAATTGGTTCTTTAGTTCAGAAAAAAAAACAAAACAAAACTTCTTTTAGTTCTAATAGGGATATCCCATATCCCATCAAGGCAGCTGCCTACCTGTTGCTTTTTAGCATCTCTAGTCTCTGTCAGCCATGGTTCAGTCACTTTAATCAGCCTGAGTGATTCTGTGACTGAGTAATCTCTACTTGAACTAAACAGGCATCTTTGTTTCTCTGTGTATGTTTGTGAGAGTGTTTGAGAATGTGTGTGGGTGTTTTTTTTTTTTTTTTTTTTAATGGAGTGTTGCCTTGAATGAATCATTGGGAAGCCAACCATGATTAAGGCTGGTAAGGTTGGGAGAGAGGAAGGGCTTTATGTTCCTGTTGTTTGGACCCTGCTTGGCATGAAAAAGAAAGCTCAGTTCTAACCCCTTGGATCAGTGCAAGTCATAGGATTCTGGGAAGATAGTCAACAGGCCCCCTCATGTGGATCAAAGGCAAGATGAGGTAGCAGCCTGCAGTGTAAAGGCTTGAAAGAAAAGGGGGTGATTTTCAGTAGTTTGCTCAAGCCACTGTTTTTTAGATGCAGAGTAGCTATTTTGAAGGAAAATTGCTTGGGTAGCAATGTGCACTTTAAACAATTTGGGTATTGGAATGCAGTCTCATATTGAGTGAGTGAGTAGAAACTACTGATGAAGATTTTACACATTTTGTGCATTTCCTTTTTGGCAATCATTACTGATTTGCAGTAATCAATATTTTTATGAGGATTTAAACTTACCAGAATGGCCCTGGAGGCAGCCTCTCCACCCAGACCCATCTGCTCTTGTGATTCAGGTGATCAGGAGCCCTGGACAGCTGTTCTCAGTGGGCTCCAGCAGGGGGCTGCTGGCTGAGGTGTGGAGCACCCTCCAGCAGCCTCTCAGTGCTAGGTGCTAATGCAGAGGAGGTTTTCTGTCTTGGGCTTGACTTGGCTGAAGACTTGGGGGGAAAATAATAAATGCATATAATCAAAAGGGGCAGCATATAATCAAACAGGAGCACTCTGTCCAGGAGAATAATCCGACTGGCATTTGTGGCAGTTTTTGAAATGTAAATGTATCCATGTGTGTTCTTGTAAATACGTGTCTCTCAGATGTCCTTTGAAGTGGGAGGGAATCAATCTGGGGATTATTTCAAATGGAATAGAGTATTTTGATATTGTTCATTCAGAGGGTGATGTGTACATATCTATATTGTATATATGTGATGAAAATGCATTGGCTTTTTGTGCACACACAATCTGCTCTCTGTACTGCTGTTGGACAGTCAGTGTTTTAATGTTTCTACAGTTTTGCTATTGCACGATTTCATATTTTGCCTCTATGATGAACGGCACCCATTCTTTGTAACTGTTAGTGCTGTAAAGAAATACTCCAAGTGTCATTAGGATTGTTGCTGCCAGAACTGATATGCATGAATGGCACTTAAAATAAATATATTATGGTAACTCCATTTACAACACCTATTGTCTGTGTTATTTGCTGCAATTGAGGAAATGAGATGGTGCTAGTTCAGTCAGGGTCTCGGGGTGTGTCCTTTATTCCTGCCCTGCAACAGTAGCTGCTACCGTTTACCGAACATGTCTCTAGCTCTGTGAACTCGGGGAATTAGTAAATTTTCCTGAGACTCGTTTTCCTCATTTACAGTGCCTGTGAAATGAAGATCAGAATAGCTACTTCTTAGAGTTGTGGTGGGCTTAAATTCATGAATGCAGCAAAACATTTAGAACAGTGCTTAGAACATATAAAAATACTCATTGGGTAACGTGGTGTGCTGAGGAGATGCTGCAATCCTTAACTCCCAGCTGTGAGCATTCAGACTACCGTGGCTTGCCCAGATCATCTGTTGGCAAGTGGCAGTTTGTGTCGTTTGACTCCGGTGTCATCTTTTTACACCATCCTCTTACTTCCAAGGGAAGTCTCTTAGCCCTGTCCTTGCCTCCAGCACTGCCTTCCCAGAGAGGTATTTCCTAAATACAGGTGGAGCGCACCTGTATCAAACATTTCTGTGAGAAAGCTGGCCTTTCTGCTTGCAGGCGATACAGACCTGTTCTGGACAGCAAGCAAACGCCAGCCCGCAGAGGCTGCTCTGAAGTCCCCCCTTTTCAGGCAAGATCCTGAGAGGGAGGAGGGGTCACGTGAGGGCTGTGGCAGTGGTTTAGGGAAGCCTAGGTTTGGCAGAGGCTACTGAAGTTGAGTCTTCAGGGGTCTTAGGCAAGAGGGACAAGGTATTTTCATTTACACCACTCTGTGTAGGCCTGGAAGCTGGATTAGCCAGGGTGGGAGGGTGGGGATTGAAGCGGGAGAAGGAGTGGGTTGTTGGTGAAAGAACCAAGCCTGGGGCACCTGTGTGAGAAATGGCAACAGGGCAAAACCATAGGGAGCCCGCAGCACCGGCGGCAGTGACTGCAAAGCCGCAGCCTCTCAAGGGGAGAGCTACCCAGGGGTCCCATGATCCGTGGCGCTTCTCGTGGCACTTCTCGCTCCTTCCAAACTCAATGTTGCCAGAAAGAGCAACTTATTACAGCTGTACAGAAGAATTGAGGCACAAAAAGTTTCACGTCCCTGAATTCTCCCAGCTAGCAGAGGATCATTCTGAGCCTCACCCTAAACCGCACTTCCTTTCACTCCACTGCTTTCCAAAAAGGACTTGACCCAAAGCCATGGGTAGTGCCTGCCCAGCTTGTGAGTGTGAGCCCATCCGTCCCAGGACTCGGCCTTACTCCCATCACAGGTCAGTTCTGGCTGGCAGCATGCCACAGGATTGTCCTAGGGGGAAGGCTTAAATCTCACTTGGTGCTGATTAAGGCGCAGGTGAAGTGTACCTTTATGCTAATCAGACGAAAAGAAAAACCAAGACCATTAAGACCTATAAAGTGGTGTCTTCTATACCTCTGCAGAAGGGTCTCACCACTGAGGTGGTTTCCGTGGATAGACAGACGCACTCTGCCCAGCCTTGCCTTCGGATGTGAGCCAGCTACTTCAGAGCTGGCAACCAAGACCTAGAAGAACTGGCCCTTTGGGCATAGGAGACAAGGTGTGTTTTTTCCCACCATGGTGCCTTGCTGAAGGAGTTCGAGTGCTGTCAAACTTGCCAGCCCTTCTCCGTGTGATTATGTGATCAGTCAACCCATGCAAAACACAAACTAGGTTAAGTGGCACCAAGACCAGAATGCACTCATTGGGAGGACCATCTGTGGCTTCCCTCTCACATGGTTTCCCTGAGCAGAGCTGAGCCAGAAATAGAGAATATAGGGCAGCCATCATTTATTAGGTGTTACATAGCATTACTAGTCAGTCCATGCACTTGATAGCGGTTATCATCTTCTTTAAAGTCACTGAATGCAGCAGATGAATCTGGGCCACACAGGGATTAAGTCATTTGCCCTGAGTCATTCAGCTCATGAGTGGTGGAGGTAGAATAATGCTTGTGTCTACACTTGCCCTGTCCAGGGTGACTCCCGAGCTGCCCTGCAGGAGGGCCGTAGAGCAGAGAGGCTGCAGTGAGCCCCAGAGGCCACCAGGGGGCAGAGGGCACCAGCTGTGGGCCTTTGCTCTTTGGGGATGGTTTCCTTTACCGGTGAGGCTGGGCTCCATTTATTCTGCCCACCCCCCCCCTCCTCCCCGCCAGGGCAGGGTGCCCTTGAAGACAGTTGAGGACCCCAGTGGCCAGCCCTCAGAGTCTTCTACATCAGAGCTTGCTGAAAGGAAACAAATGGCCCTTGTAGTTCTCAGCAGTAAACATTGGGGCTTACTCCAGAGAGGTTTACAAGCCTGCTTTTCCTCTCCCCCCCCCTCCGTTCTGAGTTAGGGTGGCAAAGGTCACCCCACTATCACACTGAGTTGAGTGAGTCTCACGAGGCTCTGTTTTTCAGGGACCAGCAGATGCAGGGGACTGGTATTGCCGAGCAGGTGTGGAGAGGGCTGTTACTGGGCCAGCCTCACACCTTGCCTGCCCCTGGGAACTTAGCTCCCAGCCCCGCCTCTGAGCCTGAGTGGGCTTCCCCAGCTCTGCACACACACCCCCGACGCCAGTGGCCATCACAGACACGATTATTGCCTCGGTGGCCATCACAGACAGGATTATTGCCTCCGTGGGCCAGGCCCTCTGCCCAGTCCCTGATAGCCATTATCTGAGTTAGCATTCCCAGCTGCCTTGTGAGACCTGTCATTATCTCTCCCTTTTTACTGCTGTCATTTGCCCAAGGTTATAGAGCCAGTGAGGGAGGTTGCCAGAGGACCTAACCTGCCTCTCTCCAACCTGCTATTCCCCAGCACTCCCCATCGCCCTGGCCCTCCCTCAGAACCCATCACCACACCCGTCCCACCCCACCCCACCCCACCCCAGCCCTGAGCTGACATCACTGGATGAATGATGCCTCTGTCACACCATAACCCCCAAAAGGTCAGAAAGGCCACTTCCTGTCGCAGACAACGGCAATGCTGACGTCTGAGGACTCTTCCCACCCTGCCCGGCCCTGCAGAGGAGAAGCCTCCTTGGGAATGGTCCTCTGCCTGTGTGGGGTGTGGGGGTGCCTAGGCGGCATGCATACACTCGGGCTGTGAGCGTGTGCGAGTCTGGACTCTACCTGTGAGGCAGCAGCTGGCAGTGTGGCCACGAGGTCTTGGGTGAGGATGTGGGGGTCCCCGTATGCCTGTGCCTGTGCGCCTGGGTGACCGTCACTGTGCCTTGGGGTACTGTTCCTAAACAGCAGATGGGACAGGAAATACCCTGTACAGGGGGAGGGAGGGAGCTGGTGCTCCCTTGAGTTCTGGCTCCCTCCTCCATCTAGGCTTTTTAGGCTTCTTTAGCCACTCCTGGGAGACCCTCCTGCGATGAAGCTGGGCTCCCACGCTGGGCTCCCACGCTCTGTCGGGTTAGGCCTTGAGGGTCTGACAAGAGTGACCCCTCCCTTTCCCATCATATCCTTGGCTTTCTTCCTGTTGCAGCTCCTCATGGAGCCCTTTGAGCTGGAACCCTGATTTATCCACCTGCCTCTGGGCATGCCCTGCCCTGCCCACTCAGAGCTTCCTGGCCAGGCCAGAAGCTGGCCCACCAGGAGCTGCTGACCCAGGAGCACTGAGCAGGTTCCCCGCAGCCCCAGAAGGATACACGAGGCAACGGAAGAGCTCATGGTTCAGAGAAGGCCTGGAGTTTCACCTGAGCAGGACACTGCCCAGCAGAGTCAGTTTCCACTTCTACAGAATGGAGGCAAGTCCTCACCTCAAGCATGGCGGCTCCTGTGAGGAAGTGGCCAGCCAGCAGGTGCCCTCACAGTGTGGGGCCCGGGAGGATCTTCCCTTCCCTGCCTGCCTCCCTCCATGGTCCCACGGCTCTGCTTCTCCTACGCCCCAGCTCCCTGTCGCCCTGGGCACTCCCCGAGCACGGCTGGGCTGGAGCGCCCCTTCTCTCCCGGGCTCAGCCGCAGGTGTTTTTACACTGAGTGCCCAGCTCTTCCCTTGCTTTGAGACCGGCCCAGGCTTCCCGCTTTCACTGGGCTGCGGGCAGAGGCCACGGCCTGGTATGCAACTGGCCTTCCTGTCTGCTGGTCCACAGCACCTCTTGCTGCTCCTGGCTTCAGCCTGCCCCCTCTGTTCCCTCCTGCTCCCTGCTGCCATGACTTTGCCTGGCATCCCTATGGGTCCAGATGTTCCCTGGCCCCGTGGCCCAGTTCAAACATACCTGCTGCCCAGCATCCTCAGCCCTGGCAGGGACCCTCTCTGGGTGTCCTCTGTGCAGCCCCGAGCAGTCTGCCCACCCCCTCCCTTTGGTCTGTGGGCGCAGGGCTCGGGACTCGAGGTCTGGCTGTGTTTCTCTCCTTCCCTTTGGAAGGAGAAGAGCCTTTGGGTGTGGGGCTGTCCTGGCAGTCAGGGTCCGGAAAGGGCGGAGGCTGGGAGCAGATGGTGAGTGGCGCTCCCGTACCCTTCTTCCTGCCAGGCCACGGGAGTGCGAGGTGACGCTGCTGATCAAACAGCCAGACGGCCCTCCGTCCTTGCCCAGCTGTCCCCCAGAGGGAGCATCAAAGGAAGAACCACCCAGCCAAGGGCGGGAGTGGGGGGCCCCACCACCCAGGCCTGGACTGGGGCTCGAGGCAATAGGTTCATGCTGCAGCTCTGCCATCCATTGTCTGTGGCCTTTGGGCTACAAGACACGCTTACGAGCAGGATGGGGAGCCTGAGAAAAGAGGGTCGTGGGAGCAGCATGAGTCCCCCTGGTAACCCCTGAGGTCTATTCTGGGCCTTTTCTACTGAGATCTGCAGAGACCTCTGGGCTGCAGGGAAGCAGGGCCAGGCCTGGGTTTTAGTGGACTTGGCTTTAACACTCACATTAGAACCATGACACCCAAACCTGGTTAAACCACCTCTGGCCCAAAGGAATAGCTTTGTCTCTTCACAAAGACCAGGGCGGGCCTGGAGTCCGGAGGCCTCAGCTGCGGGTGGTGAGAGGTGTTTAGGCTGTGGAGGGTCTGTTTACACACCGGTGTAGCCCAGAGCAAGGCGCTGGTGTTAATGTTCCCGCCATCACAAGGGCCACAGCCTTCCCTCAGGGCTCAAGGGAGCCCTTGAAGGGTCAGGCCTTGTGTGAGTCGAGGGGCTGCAAGACTTGACTCTGCCTTTGGGAGCTGGTGGGTCAGTTTGTAAGTTTTATGAGGGGACAGTGCTAGGGTCGGTGGAGCCCAGAGGTGGAGGAGAAGCTCTGTACCCAGACTTGCTGGGGTGAGGGTGGCAGTGAGGAACGTCTTCTAGAAAAGCTGCAATTCCTGATGGAGTTGTTACTGCCTCCCTTTTTCAGATGCAGAAACTGAAGCCCAAAAGTCCCACCCAGGGCCACCTTGACTCCAAAGCCCGAGCTCTTTAGCCCACAGTTTTCTGGCTGGACCCCTTCCTCCTGGTCCAGCTGCAAGGGGTATTTCGGGATCCTGGATGAAGGTGAGTTCAACGGGGGCCTGTTCTTGAAGGGTCTTGAACAAAGGTGTGGGGGTGTGGGCTTGGCTTTGGGCAGAGACCGGGGGACTTAGGTGGGGAGGCAGGTAGCTGAGGCGGCATTGCCTGGAAGGCCACAGAGAGTGGGTTTTCTGGGAGCGGGGCCTTAGGTGAGTGGACCCACTCCTCCCCCAGGTGTGCGGACGCCGAGGAGCAATGCCTCAGTACTGAGTTGTGGGTCTGGGGGCCAGGACACCTGGGGCTCCAGAAGACCCCAATATCCCGCACCCCGATATTCTACACAGGAGAGAGGCTTGAATTCACACCTGGGCCCAAGTGGGCAAGAGATTTGGGGGTGGAAGCAAGGGAAGAGGAGTTGTTTCTATTTCCCAGGACACGGGTGAGATAGGGCAGGGCCCAGAGGCTGAGCCCAGGAGCCGGTTCCTCTTTCCCACAGCGCGGACAGCGTGGAGCTGCGTCACTCCTGCAACCCTCCCACCTGCTCCACCCCCACCATGTGCCACCCCTGGCCAGGGATTGTGCACACACACATACACACACACACACAGGGAACCCAAGCCCACTCACTGCACCTTGGGAGGGGAAGACCAAACTCGAATGAGCCAGAAACTGGGGTCCTTCAGGCCCTCGTGGCCCCACATGCGCCCCCACCCAACTCAAGTTGAGCCTCACATTAACCCCAGATCCAGCCCAGTCATGCAGCCCAAACACACCTCCAGCTTCCACTGCAGATGCAACTCCCACCTCACGCCTACCAAGGAACCCCAGCCTAACCCCAAACAACCCCACATCAATTGCCATGTCCACATCTACCCGACTAGCTGCACCCCCAATTCTAGACCTAGCCCTGGCACTCCCTCCACCCCAACCTTACTTCCTTCCTACCCCTGCTCCTGTCTGAACCCCAACTCAAACTAACTGGAACTCCTGCCACGAATGCTACCCACCCATGACCTGAAGCTGCTCTTAATCCAGCTTTCACCCCATCCCAGCCCAACTCCACCTAATTCCAATCCCAATGCAGCTCGAATCCCAGCAGCAGTGCGGAGATCAGTGCCCATTGGAATATGCCCTGCATGCCCTTAAACATGGCTTTAGCTTCAGTCACAACCCAAACTCCATAACACTGACATGCCCCAGTCTAGCCCCGGGGCTTCCCTGGCGCTCATGCCCACCCCACCTCAGCAAGCAGACCACCATGTGGCTGGACAGGACACGCAACCCTCAGTCTCTCTCACACACACGCACATACACACACACGCACTCAGGCAAGGGGAGGAAGTCCAGTCAAGCCTGGGACAGCAATGTCCTCCGCCTCTCTTGGGCCAGACCCTTGGGAGCTCCTGCCTGTCAGGCTGTTTCCTCCAGTTCCACACTGTCTCTCCCACCTGGGACTCCTGCCCTGCGCCCTCCTCTGTGCTGTCCTGCCTTCACCCAGGTGTGTTTGTACATTGGAACAATGGAGCCCCAGGGCTCTCATCCTCCCAAAGCCGGGGGCTGTGCTCACTGCAGACCTCAAGGGGCTCACACTGTCCTGTGCTGGGTCCTCCTGGGATCAGTGTCTAGAGGGACAGAGACACACACAGTGGCCCCACCCAGTGCCATCCCTACAGAGGAATGTGCCTGGTTCCATGGGAAGAGGTTTTTTTTTTCCAGCTGGGGATGCCACAGGGGTTATTTGATCTGGGCCTGAATGCTTTTCCTGAAGGAAAAGCCTTCCAGGCAGATGGAACAACATGTCAAAGGAAGGAAGCATGTCCAGGAGAGGCAGGAGAGGTGAGCCTGGCCAGAAGGCCAGGGCTGGAGATGAGACTGGGCTGGTAGCGGGGGTGGAGCGGGAGGGGAGGGTGCCCTTGTGGGGGTCACTAGCTGGCAGAAACAGCAGGACTGGGGAGTTGGAGGTCAGGTGAGCAGGGGCCAAGGCAAGTGGAAGCAGTACAGTGAGGACAGCCTGAGGCTGCAGGGTGGGCAGGCAGGCGGTGGCGTCAGCACAGGAGAGCAGCCGGGCTCAGATGGCACCAGAGCTGGCAACCAGGGCCCACTCTGCTGCTGCCAAACACGCTACTGACTGATCCTTCACTTTTGGTGTGCCAAGCACTGGGCAAAGAATAAGTAGAAGCTCACTTAGCCCCCAAGATAACCTCACCAAGTAGTTATTATTATTGGTGCCCACAGAGGGGAAATGATTTGTCCAAGTTGACACACACTGACACTGGGCAGTAGGTAGGACAGGGCTGTTCACAGGCCCGTGGGGGGAATGTGAGTCCTTCCTCCGGTGCATAGTGGCCGAACCTCATACCATTTCTCACCACTTGCAGCCACCTAAACACGCCTTTCCCTCATCTTTTCAGGTTCATGTTTCATTCCCAGGATCACCCCAAGCCTCTTTCATCTGCCTGTTCCAAAGGTGGCATCTTTGCAAGGAATGGCCTTCTATCTCCATCCCCCCACCCCGCTTTTTTTTTTTTTTAAAGATTTTTTTATTTGTGCATACAGAGCTGGGGTACAGGCCAGAGGCTCAGGGGCGGCGTGAGGCTTCACCAGAGACAGAGTGGGAAGCAGAACAGGCAGATCGACGAAGTACTGAGGGGAGCAGCGGGCGGGTCAGGAGAGGTCTGCCACGCCATGTGGTCTCCTCCAGGGCAGGCGGGAATTGAACTCATGCGGAAGTGGCTTTAGCCCATTAGTGCAGTGCTTTAACCCACTGCGCCACCAGGGAGGGCCCCGCTTTTTTTTTTTTAAAGATTTATTTATTTATGCATACAGAACTGGGGTACAAGTCAGAGGTGCAGTGAGAGGGCGGTGAGAGGCTTCACCAGAAACAGAGTGGGGAGCAGGACAGGCAGATCAATGAAGTACTGCTGAGGGGAGCAGCAGGCAGGTCAAGAGCAGTCTGCTGCGCAGTGTGGGTCACCTCCGGGGCGGGAGATCAAACTCGCCTCAAAGCAGCTGCGGCTAGCTTGCAGTGCTGCGTCCTTACCCATTGCACGACCCGGGAGGGCTCTCCAGCCCCTTGTTTAAGAAGGTCTTCACCCATTTTCAAGACTGGTGCTGGCCTGGCCCCTTTGGGAAGACTTTCTGAACTGCCCTGCACCTGGGCTGGATGGGAGGCCCCTTGACCCCCACTCCCCATCCTGGGTCAGCCTGCAGTGTCACTGTCTTGGCCTCACTCCCTTCTCAAGGGCTGAATGACTGCATTCTGCTCTCTCACAGGCCAGCCCAGAGCAATTCATGAACCTGTATGGCTGATGAATACATGGCCCAGTTGTGAGTTAAAGTGGGTGCCCAGGGAGGGGTCAGGGCTCTGCCAGCCCCCAAGGTTGAGCTCTTATCTGCCAGGGCGGTCTTGAGCCTTATCTGACGAAGCCTGAATTACAGGTGATCTGATGAGATGCTGGCAAAGCCTCTTGGGTTACTCAGTAACCCTGCCCTCTTTAAAAAGCCCCGCTGTCTCTCCTGGCATCCAGAGTCAGCCACTCCTCTCCTGGGCACTGCCACCATGAACGCCTTCCTGCTATCCACTCTGTGTCTCCTGGGGGCCTGGGCTGCCCTGGCAGGAGGAGTCACTGTGCAGGTAAGTCTGCCTCTACCTGGCCGGCCAGCACTGGCCCCAGTGCCCAGCCTCTGGTCCCTGATACAGCATCCCTATTTGGAGCATGAATGGGGGACTGTCTAAGGCTTGGCTCTTTCCTCAGGGAGCCCCTTCTCGGTCCTGCCTTGGACATCTTCCCCTTCAAATTTCGAGGGGAAAGGATGCCAGGTAGAGAGAAAAGGAATCCTTTGGGCTAGGCAGGCGATCTGTCAGTTCACAGGTGCACGCTGCGGACCAGGCTGCACACTATCTCACTGCACGGGAGAACACCCTCTGCTAAGGGTGTACTGGTCCTGTGTTTGAGTGGAGCCTGAGCCTCACACAGGTTCTGGAACTGGTTATGAGCACGTGGCTGGGAAGTGAGCGTGAGGGACTCAAATTTAGACCGACCTCCTCAATTCCAAGCTCACCCTCACCACCTGGCAGGATCCAGGAAACAGCTGAACACCTGGGTCTCCCGACGGCCTGTGCGTGCGGGCGCGGATGCCAGTGAGAGACACCTGCCGGGGGCCCCACGCTTTATCACAGCCAAGCCCTCGAGGCCTTTTATTGCTTCTCAAACATCAACCAGGCTGCCGACTGAAGCTGGGGACCGGGTGATCGTGGTCAGCCACGCTGCTCTCTGCAGGGGTAGTGACAGCCTGCCTGATCACGAGGAGTCCAGAGGCCCTGGGCCTGGTCCCAGCTCTGGAACCCCCAGAAAATCAGCATGATAGCTCTTACCCACTGGGCGCCTCTCTGACATTTCCCACCCTTGTTCTTGATTGCTTACATAATGTGCAGAACATAAGCTCCCACGGCGTAGTAATGTTCAGGGTCACAAAACAAAACTAGGATTCAAGCCCAGTGTCTCAGGGTATGTCCCGGGCTCTGGCCACCTCATATTGCCCAGCAGCTAACCGTTTGGTTTCTACACGCTACTGCTTGTGCCCCACCGGGGTGGGAGAGGGGTTGGTCCCTGGGAAACAGCACGGAGCTGGCTGCAACCTGGCCTCACCCCTCTGGATATGTCTCTCAGGATGGAAAGTTTTCCTTTCCTCTGGAATCTGTGAAGAAGCTCAAGGACTTCCAGAAGCCCCAGGTGTCCAGCATTGAGAACCCCAGGACGCTTGGCAGACCCTTGGTTCCCAGCCTCTGTAGGGACCCTAACTTCCCCAAAGAACTCAAGCCTGTCTGCAAGGAGCCCAACGCCCAAGAGATCCTTCAAAGACTGGGTGAGCAGCCTGCTCTCTGATTGGTGGGGTTTTGGAAACTCTCTGATTGGTGGCCCTTGAGGCTGAGCTGCGTTCTGATTGGTGAGATTCAGAAGCTTTGCTCTCATTGGTGGGTCTGTTAAATCCTCTTGTAACTCGTTCCCTGGGGCAGTCGTGAAGTTGACTTTGGTCTGATTCTGGCCTGGGTGGCACTTTGCGCTAGGTGGGGGATGTGGGGTATATCCAGGCTCTGGTCTGAGAGAAGGAAGGTCCCTGGGGAGGGAAGCTGGGTCTCATGGGCCCCATCTCTCCTGTCCAGAGGCCATTGCTGAGGACCCGAGTTCCTGCGAGATCTGCGCCTACGCCGCCTGTGCCGGATGCTAGGACACCCATGTGATTTCCGCTGCCTCCAGCAGGTCTCCCTCCGGGCGGGCCCACTCTCGCACAGCCTCCTTCCCTGACTCCCAGTGGCGGAGAGAGGGGAGAGCCTCCAGGGGAGGCCCAGAGCCTGGCCCTTCCTTGTGGCCGATGCTTGCCAATACCCACTCCAAAGCTCAGCTAATAAACCAGATTCCAGAGTACTCCTCGGTGTTGCTGTCATTCCTTCCCATCTGTCTACTCCTCCTCCAGCTCTAGGGGTGCCTGCCCTGCCTGCCCTCGGGAGGTCAGGACCTAGTGTGCTCAGGCAAGACCCCAGATCCCCTGCTAAACTACCACTTCCTGGGGCCACCACCACACCCAGGTGGGGAGGCCCCTCAGTCTCCTCGCCACCCATGGGGTGTAGGTGGAACCGCAGGTTCTCTCTCTTATTTCTCCAAAGTCACTAAGTCCCATGTGGACACAGGAATCTGTCCACAGACTTGACTGGCTCCGAGGCCGGCTCTGAGCTTGGGAGTGTTGAGTTTCTGGGCACCTGGACCCTCTGACCACTCCTTCCCCTCCCCAAGGCCCATCCCCAGGCCAAGCACTGACCACATCCTTGCTCCCTGGGTCAGGTAAACTCCTACTAGATTCCAAGGCTTCACTGCCATGGCAGTTCCTGACTCTCCCGGAAAGTCCTAGTACTCCCCCTCTGTCCTGGGTGCTCTCTGAACACTGCAGCCACATCTCTTGCACACTTGGCTGCCCAGTGGCTTCTGTGTGTTTGTGTGGGCAGTCTCTCTCGGCCCCAGCGTGGAGAGACCTAACGCGTAGGGGATAGTGTGAGAGCATGACATGGGGCAGAAGCAGAGCGAGAGCTCACGCTTCCTCCCGGGTCTTCCATGTGGTGAGTGACGTTGGGGAGTCGTCTGTGCTCTCTGTGCCTCAGTCTTTTTCTCTGTGGAGCTGGGATGGTAATGGCCCCTGGCTGGGGACTAGGTCAAGCTGGGTGAAGTAGCGAAAGCAGTCAAGCAGGTCGGCCATGTGGAGGGGCTAGCACACATGCCTAAGAGTTCCCTAAATGGTGAAAACAAGCAAACCAAAGGAGGCCAGGGTCAAGCTGAGGATGGTTCAGACTGGGTGAGGAGGTGTGGGCTGGAGGGAGGCCGTTGGCACAGGGGAACAGGACAATGGTGCAATCAGGGAGTTGAAGGAAGGTAAGAGCCACCCACCGCTGGGCTGAATTCCCTGGGCTTTGAATTGGGAGGGTGAGGTACCCCAGGACCCTCCCAGGGAAGGCCGGCATTTGCCTCTGGGGAATGTCTTCAGGATGTGTGGAATTTCACAACCAACATGGAGAGCGGGAGGGAGGCAGAGGGATCCCAGAGGTGGGGCTGGCGCTGACCCTCCACAAGCAGGAGGGTCCAAGGTGCCCCGGTGGCCTGGACAGGAGGAGGCGGGAGGCACCCGGCTGGGGGTGAGGCCGACTGTGACGTTCCCAGCCGTGTGCCCCGCTGAGACTTGGTTTCCTCCTCTGAGAGTGGGGACAGGACAGACTGGGCCTCCCAGGTTTGCAGGGCACTTGACGGGCTCATACACACACGCTGGAGCCAGACCTGGAGGGGGGCCCCTCTGCCCCTAGCCAGCTGTGACGTGGGCAGGCCCTGTAGCTCGTTCTGAGTCGTTTCCCCTCTGTGCAATGGGCATGGCAAGAATCCCTGCTTCCTAGGGGTTCACCTTGATGAGGTAACACAGAAGAGCTGGTGCCACAGGGAGCCCTGGCGGGCACAGTGCTGATGCTGCGTTAGCCTGCCTTCTGTGGAGACGGCTCAGGCTCGTTCTTGGCACGTAGTAGGTGCTCAGCCGGTAGCAGCCCCCTTTATTGCCTCTTCGCCTGGCCTGGAGAATCCATCACAGCTGAAGGGGATGTTGGGCAGCCAGGCCGGTGCTGCATAGACGCCGTTAAGACTTGAGAGGCAGCACTGGGGAGCCATAGGAGGTAAGGGGGCACCATTTGGGCACCCCACTCGTTCCTCTAGTGCGGGGAGCCTGGAGCGCCTGAAGGACGCAGGGCAGGGGACACGCTGGGCTGGCTGGGGGTAGCGGGGTCAGGGCTCACCTTGGGTGATGGGAGAGGTATGAGGAGTGGCCCAGGGGGCCTGCAAGGGCCTGCAGCTGCTCTGCCTATGCGGGAGGGAGAGGAAGGTGCTGGGGTTCAGCCTTGTGCGGCCGGGTGCCTGGGAGACTGCAGGGCTCAGAAGCGGAGCTGGGCAGTCAGGAGGGGCAGCGGGTCTCGCCCTCGCTGCTGTCCCTTTTGCACTCGGCTCCTCTCCTGGTTGCTCAGGGCAGAGGCTGGGCTCTTCCCCGGCCTCTGGAATCCTGGGGATACCAGCATAGCTCCTGGTCTTGGATGAGGGCACTAAGGCCACTGGGAGAGCAACGGGCCGCTGGGGCCCTGGTGGGTGTCACCAGCGTTGGCGGGCTTGCGGGAGGCAGTGACATGGCCGCCCAGAGCACAGGCTGGCTCAGCCTCTGGGAAGACACATGCTTTGCCACTCTGCTGAGCCTGGGGCTGTGATTCTCGCTGGGCCTGGGGGCCCCTTGCTGGTGCACAGAGAGGGCGACACTGCAGTATGTGCTTGCCAGGCCCCGTGAGGCCTCAGTGCGCTCACTTCTCCTGCACAGGGTTAGAACAGCGCCGAGGTCATGCAACTGCACAGTGAGCAGCTCTCATTGCTCCTAATAGTGCCGGGGCCACTGGGAGGGAGAGTGGGAGGAAGGGCCTTCCACCAGGTCCGGGCCGCGAGGTCCCCGGGAACCCGAAGGGAGGAGCTCAGGAGGGTAAGGGAGGAGGCCCAGGGCAACTTCTTGGAACCCTGGGAAGAGTCAGCCCTCACTCTGGGCCTAGGGAGGGGCACCCTGTGTGTCTCCCCACCACCTGTCCCAGCTCCTGGAGGGAACTCCGCGCCGCCCTCCGCAGCTCAAGGCTGGCACAGAGGCTCTGATTCTGCAGCTCAGCCAGGCTTTGACCTTGGCTCAGGGTCAGATGGTCAGGGTTGCTCTGGAGCTTTTTAGGGCCGTGATCTTGGGCGGCTCATCTCCACCCAGACCTTCACTCCCTCCTACAGCCAATGGGGCGTAAGGCATCAACTCCGCAGGCACTGGAGGCCAGGGGAATTCCTCACCTTTGTCTCAGTCCAGCCTTGCTCCTCAATCCACCCAGCTTCCTCAGAAGTCCCGCCCATGGCTGCTGGGAGGAACCGGTGGGCTCCTATGTAAGCACAGAACCTTTATTCAGCAAAGACCGGCCTGGGGGTCAAACTTCCACATCTGTCTGTCCAGCTGTGGACAGGTCCAGCTGCTCGGCTGGAGAGGATGCTGATGACCTTCCTGGCTAGCAGCCCTGGCGGAGCTTGGGTTGGGCTGGGTGGGGAGGCGGGTGTCCGTTGGGGGCCCAGGACACCCAAGACCATCTCAGAGGCAGCCGGTACAGGCGACATTCACACACAGCTCACAGTCGTCGTTGTCACTAGCGATGATCCCTGGGCAGGGGAGAAAGAGGTCAGCTGAACCGGAACTTGAAATACCTGTGGTCCCGGGGGTGCCCTCTAGGCAGTGAGAAAAGGCCTGGCGAGTGACGGCCTGGGGAAGGCCCTGGCGACTTTCTCACAGACCCAAGGCTTCAGAAGCTGAGTGGGTGGCTTGGATGGGGGTCCCAGCCCCCTCTTTCTGTTGGTGCCTGGCAAGTCACTTACTCTCTGAGTTTCCAAGTCTGACCGGGTGGTTGTGAGAACAGATGCTGGGAAAGGGACGGACACAGGGCCTGGCCCCTAGTGGCTGCCCCATAAACGCCAGCTAGTGGCCACCTTCTACTGGCCAGATGACCCTCCCTCCCCGTGGCTCCCCTCTCGGAAGCCTCTGGACCCTGGGTGCCACCCTTTGTGCTCCGTCTCTCTGTCCCTGCTGTGCTTTCGGCCCGCTGTGTTGTGACCCGCTTAGGGGCCTCTGCCCTAGGCTCCTTCCCTCCAGCTGGGCGTCTGGGGAGCAGCATGATCAGCTGGTCCCAGGAGCCCGGGACTGAGGAAGCTCCTGGTCTGTGAGCACTCCGTGCCCCAACTGGGACCCAGGCGCTGGCTTTTGTAATCTCCCTGTCCTGGGCCTTTGGGTGCTCAGTAGGGGCAGCCTGGCGTAGCGGAGAGCCAGGATGAGGGCAGGCTGCTCCAAGGAGCCGGGGAGACTCACTCAAGGCCTGGAAGATGCTGTCTGCTTCCTGGGAGCCGCAGATGGGCCGGAGGTCCTGCGGCAGGGCCGGGTGGTGGCACACAGAGTGGAGGACGGTCTGGGCCCGCAGGCGGGGGCTGGGCACCCACTTCTCCAGGTTACTCAGCTTCTTCACTGACTCCAGCTGGACCTGGAAGCCTTGGTACTGGGGACCGGAAAGGAAGGAGGTGGGAGGACATCAATCCTGGCCAGGGGGTGTGCCCTGCCAGGAGACCAGGGTCCATACGCAGCAGGACCTTCCTGGTGCTCAAGACAAGTCCAGGCTACCCTGGAAGGACAGACGGGGGTGGGAGGTGGCATTGACACTCAGCACCGCGGAGCGCAGGAGCTGGAGCGTGAGGTTGTCCAGGCTGTGGGGCAGCTCTTCAGGGTACAGGCTTTGAGACCTGCAGAGCCCTGGCTCAGGTCCCAGACCTTCCCAACCAGCTGCCCATTTTGCTCCTGCTGAGCCTCATCTGACAAATGGAGACAATTACGCCTCCTAGGTGCCCGGCACCCAGAGTACCCGCTGTTCTAGGGAGATCTCTGAGCTGGCGTGGCAAACTGTGGCCAGGCCCCAAGGCCAGACTGCAGGGGAGGCAGGCTGCTTAGCACCCTCACATTCTTAGGGAGGCCCAGAGTCACCAGGACCGCTGTGGTATCCCACCACCCCCAGGTGCACTCCTTTGAGCTTCCTAGGTGCCAGAAGTGATCCCCGGGGCCTTTGCATCCGCCACGCGCCCTCCCTGTGGCAGCCACCTCTTCCCGCTCGTGACGCCATGTCAGCGCGAGAGTCACCCGCCAGGGACGCTTTTTCTGGTGACCAATCTCACTCTATCCCTCCGCAGATGAATTTAGACAGCAGTGGGGGCATCAAAGGGGTCCCTCCCATCTGGGCTTCTCAAGGGCAGGGACATGCTTCGTTTTACACTCTGACCTCTGACCAGAATCGACCTTTGAGAGCAGTGCTGAGCAGCAGCTTTTTATTATCATCGCCGTCATCATCGCCGTCCGCATTCCAGCTTCCCCCACCCACCAGCTGTCTTGGTTTCAAGCTGCCATTGAGTGTGGGCTCAGCCTGAGCCCGTGTGCCCCTGTGTCCCGTGAAGATCCTAGCGTCCCCTCTCCAGCCCAGCCTCCCACTGGGGGACATCCAGGCAGGGAGCAGGCTGGCCAGAGGACTCACCTGGATGGAAACTGCCTGTGTGCTCGGCAGCAGCACCAGGATGACCACAGCCACCCTGGACAGGAGCCCTGACCCCGAGCTGCCGCCCATCTTGCTTTCTCAGAGTCCTGGCCCTGCTGTCTACCTGCTCCCACCGCCCCTCCGGCCAGCAGCAAATTATAGCCTGGCTCGGGCACCCTGTCACTCATTAACTGTCCAGCTGGGGTGGGGCCGACGGCCGGTTGGCTCTCTGGCGAGCCAGAGCCCATTCCCAGGAAGGAGTTTGGGGGGCAGGGCAGGGAGGCCCAGAGCACGTGGGAACGTTGATGGAGTGTCGAGCTTCTGCTGTGTGGGGGCTCTGGAGAGGCCCCTTCCTCATTCCCTCAGAAGCCTTTTGAGTGGAATGAGGGGAGAAGACAACTTACAGACAGGGAAAGTGAGGCTTGAGAGAGAAAGTGTGGCAGAGCAGGAGCTCAGCACCTCTGATCCAGGTCAGCACGTGGGCCTCCTGGGTGCAATACAGACAGGCTGGCCCAGGGCAGATACCACTCTCGCCCCAGGACTCTGCAAACCCCTAAACCCATGTCTCTCCCTCCCACCCCCTCATCTATTTAAAGAACACCCTCTTGAGCAGTCCCTGCCAAGCCATCAACCTACCTGCCTGGGTACTCTCAGGCCCCTGTTTGCCTCATCATATCCATCATGCCTACCTGTGACCAATCTCACCTGTCAGAGTCTTCCAGAAACCAAATCAGCCCGGAGGAAAGAGCACTGTCTTTGGAGAGAGACTGCCTCCCTGACAAGTCACACCAACGTTGCTGGACTCAGTTTCTCCTTCAACCAAGTGGGCATGATGCTCAAGCCCACTGAGGGTGGTCACTATGAGAAGGACAGGGCCAGGCCTGCCATGCTCTCGCCCCTTGGGTGACATCCACAGGGGGGCCCTAAGCTCACAGTTGCCTTTTAGGCAATGCACAGCCCATCACCTCCATGGTTGAAGGTTGGGTCAGGGAGAAGAAAGCAAAGTCCACAGAGCCTTATCACCAGGTAGCTATAAACAATGCCCGTGCCAGGCTCGGCTATTTTGAGCATGGCACATGGCAGGTGGTATAGGCACTTTATGTAGAATGCTCACCTGAAGCCCAGAGAGCCCATCTAGGTAGGTCGGGCCCACTCTCGACCTGTGGCTAACATCTGATGCCACCGAGCTCCCAGGACCAACCCTCCTGGCACCCCCTAATCCCACAGCGTGCCTTTACAGATGCATCCCCCTGCGCAAATGCCCACCACCCCCGTTCTCATCTTGCATAGAAATAGAAGAAAGCGTGAGTGAACTTGGTTATTTTTTATGTCTTGCTTTAAATCCAAACTTCAGCCCTTATTCTTTAAAGTATGAAGACATCAGTGGACCCTTAGTGCTACCTCAAGGTGCAGGGAAAATGACCATTTGTTGGGCACTGCGTGTGACCTGCAATGCTGTTTCATGGGCTTCTTACCACTTGGTCCTACAGGAGAGGTGCCATGGTGGCTCTGTTTTATGCATGAGTAATCCAAAGCCCAATCAGGTCACCTCCACGCTGTCAAGAATGGAGGCCAGTTTTTTACCTTGGGAATTCTTGCCTCTGCTCGACGCACGTTGTTATAGAAAAAGGAACATGGTCTTGGAGGCAAGAAGCTCTGGCTTCAAGCCCAGACTCCAGCTCCAGCCATTGTGAGGACAACACCGGACAATCCTGTCCCAGAGGAGCCCCTGACTCGCCCACCCTTCTCCAGGTACACCTGGCAGTGGCTTCCCTGTCCCCTGGAAGACCTTCTCCACAGAGGCCGCCCCACAGCCCCATCTCTGCACCTACACCTGGAAGAGTGTGAGCTCAGTCTTTTGGAGTCCAAACTCCATGCTGTGCCATCTCTCACTTGACCAGTGATCCCCACCTCTGTGACCTCAGGATGTCATTTGTAAAAGGTGACCAGCGTACCGCTTTTGGGGATGTCATGAGGTCTTTCCCCACCCGAGCAGGCTCTGCCCCACTGGTGCTACACCAAGAAATAAGAAACACCCCAGAGGAGTGGGAGACCCCTGTGGCCATGATCGCCTTCCCTCCTCTACCTTCTCGCTCCTCCAGTGCGTGTCCACCGAGGGTGATTCTCCCCCTGGGCACAAGGTGTGGCTTGGCTTCTTTATCTACCTGACATGACTCAAATTCATATTTCCACCCAGCTCCTCCCCATCCCTTCATGAATGACACCCATCCATCAAAGCCAACCTGGCACAGTTACCAAGACCTTGTTGCCACCCCATTCAGCTGGGGTGGCACTAAGACGTGGACTTCTTAAGGTCACTTGCTGCTTCATGGACACAGGAAATAACATCAAGCCAGACTGGACTCCGGTTTCTGGAAGCCTCACACGGATGCAGTGTGGGTGCAAGTGGGCCCATGTGTATCTGGGCTGCTCTCCCCACACTGCATTCCCTGCCTGGTGCCACCCACAGCACCCAGAGCAGGACTCTCCCTGCCCCCACGTTGACCATTCCTCCCAGCAGCTCTTGTCACAGCTGGCCGTCCCCTCTTCCTAGGGATAGACTGATTTCTTCACTTGACCGCTGGGACACCTGTCCAGATTTCTCCCCCCACCCTCCTGGTCTTGCCCTCTGTGTTCTAGACTCTTATTTACCTTCTCAGCATCTCCCAGAACAGTGGATGGTGCTAGTGCTCATAATTTCTTTTCATTTGCCAAATTAAATTCATTATAAAATTCAGTTGACTCCACCTCTAAAATATTATGAGACTCTAACTATGCCTCACCATCATCACTGCTACCACCAAGGTCCAAGCTATCGTCATTGACCAATTTTCTCATGGATATATGCAACAGCCTTGTAATTGCCAGGATTTTCCACAGAAACAGAAAAGAATAGGGTAAAAATCCATCCATACACTTTATTTTATCATCTTATCTATATTTATTTTGAGTCATTCGCGTATTTGTTGTTGGAGTTGGCAAGTCTGAAATCTGGATGGCAGGTTGGCAGGCTGGAAATTCAGATAAGGGGTGATTTTGCAGTATGAGTATGAAGTTGCAGAACAAGCCAGAAGATAGGACCCTCAGCAGGACTTCTATGCTGCAGTCTTGAGGCAGAATTTTTTTTCTTCTTCCAGAAGCCTTAGTTTTTGCTCTTACAGCCGTCAGCGGACTGGGTGAAGTCCATCCATGTCATTCACTTGATGTCTACTGGTGATAAATTCTCATCACATTTTAAATAAAATATCATCCTAGCACCATCTAGACTGACATTTGATCAAATAACTGGGCACGTCACCTGGCCAAAAGAGGTCTCCAAACTGATCTCTCTGTAGCTGCTTTTGCTCTGTAGAGAATATAGAGAGCCTATTAAAATCTTACTCAAACAAAAATCTAAGTCCAATCTACTCAGAACTAATGACTTACCGGGTCATTCAGGGTAAATCGAAAGTCTTAAACTTGCCCATCATGCTGGGTTGGTGCTTCCTTGTTATCCACCAACTCCAGGGTCGCCGACTCTTCTATTCTCCCAAAACAACACCTGGCACAAATACTTGATGAATTGAATCAACAAATAGGATCAACTACCTGCCCCGTTCACCCCTAGATGTTTGGTTTTAGACTATTTCTATGTGTCTGAGCCTCAGTCATTCCCTCTAGCATCTTTCCACAGCTAAGGGGACTGGCACGTGGCAAGTGATTAAAAAATGCTCTTGCTAAGTAAATACTGTTAACTATGAAAGTTGTTACTTTCGTAGTTTCAAAAATTTTCACAGTTGTCAAGATATTTACGGAGAAATGGAACCCTTGAAGTCAGGGACAAGACCAGGAGGCCCGCTGCCACGACTCCTGTTTGACTTAACGCTAGAGGTTTTGGGCAGAGCGATCACACACATACAGGAAATAAAGGGAATCCACATGAGGACAGAAGTGAAACACCACTATTTATAGACAAGATGATTATGTGTAGGAAATACTCAAGACTCCATCCAAACATTACTAGAAACAATAAAGGCATAGAGTAAAGTGGTAGGTTATAAAATCAGCATATAGAAGTTCATAGTCTTTATAGACAAACAATGTAGGAAGCAAAAGAAACAAAAATTAAGAAAATCACCCCATTTATAATTGCTTCAAAAGAATTAAACACTTTGGAATCAACCTCATGAAGGAGGTTAAAAGACCTGGACAAGAACTCCACAATGTGGCTAGAGGACTTGGTAGCAGCAGAAAGTGATGGAAGGACATCCCATGCTCATGGAAGGGGGTCTCAATAGAATCAGATGACTTCTTACCTATTTGACATGCACATTTCACACAACACTCACCAAAATACCAGTAATGTTTTTCAAAGAAGAGACACTGAAATTTATATGGGTTCAAAAAGGCTTCAACATGCAAAAGCAACCTTGAGAGAAAGGGAGGGGTCGGGACTTTTGCTGACTTCAAGTTTTCCTTGAAGCAACAGTATTAAAACCATATGGTATTGGCACAGAAAAAGGTACATGGACCAATGTTGTGGAATTAAATGCCCTGAAATGAAATCATGTACATACCAGCACCCAGAGAGTCTCTTTAGTAAACTGTGAAGGGAAAATTGGAAAAGACCCACATGAAAGAATAAAGTTGGATCACTTGCCAACACCACATACAAAAATATACTCCAAATGCATTAAAGATTTAGATATAAGACCTGAAACAATAAAATACATAGAAGAAAACATTGGTGATACGTTCTATGATATCAAAAATAAAGATATTTTTGGTGGCTCAGCACCTATGGCAAGGAAATTAAAAACAAAACAAAGAGCGGGGTTTCCTCATGTTACAAAGCTTCCTTCTATGAAAGAAAATACAAGATGATTAAATAGGCACCTTGTTGAATGGGAGAAAATACTTATACAACATATAAATGATAAGAGATAAATATCCAAGATTTAAAAAATTCATTAAATTCAGCAATTAAAAACCCAATGAATAAAAGGGCAGCATATGTAAACAGACAAATTCATACTATCTAGAAGGCAAAAAGACATACGAAAAACTGTTCATTGTCACTTCAAAAAGAGCTGTGCCCTGAGTTCAAATGA